CTGCCCTTTTAGTTATTACTATTAAAAAACCTCTTATAAGAAAAAGGGGGGAAAACCCCCCTTAGTTATAAGCTGCTAAGATAGTATATATTTTACCTAGTACTAGCACTTCCTTAGGATAAGATAATATAAATAAAGTGCCTTATATTATTTTAACTTTAAGTAGTTATTACGAGGTTATATTTAATACTAAGTAATTTATATTTATATAAGGGACTTAAAATAATAAGGTAGTAAGTAAGTAAAAGCTTAAGAAGTAATTAAGCTTAGCTAGCTATTACCTTAATAATAGAGAACCTTAGTTTATAAGATGGTAAGGAGAATTTACTAAACTAATAGATTTTCCTAACTATAAAATATAATTTATAAAGTTAATAAATTTAAGTAATAGCTAATACTAAATATATTAATAAGATATATTAATATACTAAAAAGGCATAAAGACCTTAAATACTATTTACTAAATAACCTATTTTATAAGGCAGAAAAGACTTATTTTAAAACCTATAAATAAATATACTCTTAGTATAAGGTTTAAAGAAAAGAAGCTATAGGTAAAAAACTCCTAGATTATATATAAATTTATATATATAAGTTTAATAAGTATAAATAGTTTATTAAGTATATGGCCTGGCTTACTATATAAGGCAATTAATAAATTAAGTTAATATATAAGGATACTTATATATTTATACTTACTAATAGATCTTTTTAAATACTTATAATTATAGCTACTTACTTTAATTTAAAACTTCTTTAATATAATATTATTAATACCTATATTAATATTAAATTAAAGTAAGATATCTATATATAGATACCTAGAGGCTACTAAAAGCCTAGCCTAATTCTTAAACTTTAAAACATACCATATAACTTATACTAATTACTATTACTTTAGTAAAAGAAATTAATTATTACCTTTATAAATATTAGGTTTAAATCTATACTTTATAAGCTATATTATTTATTAAAAGAACGAATATTAATATTTCTCTATATAAATAACTTTATTATTACCTATAAGAAGAGTAATTAAAAATTAATTAAATAAATAATAAGCAAGCTTTAAGAAAAATACTAACTTTCTAAAAGAAATATATTATAGTAATTTCTTAAATTTTAAGTTATTTATAATTAAAACTAATATCTAATTTAGTTATTATAATTATTATTTATAAATAAGATTACAAGTTATTTTAGGATTTAAAAGGGAAAGCCTTTTCTTACTTTAATAATTATAAAAGAACTTCTTTTAAATAAAAAGTATATATTAAGAGTATTAATATAGCAGTATTAATATAAGACTGGATTAATACTTTACCTAATAGTAATTACTTAACTTAATATTGCCTTTATTATTTCTTAACTTTATTAATTTAATATAAATCTAAGTAATAATTATTATAAGGCCTTAGACTACCTATTCTAGTATTTATAAAATACTAAGGCACTTATATTATAACTTAGTAAAATAGATACTTTTAATATATATAATAATACTTTTTTTACTAATTATATAATTAATTAAAAGAGCTTGCAAGACTATATAATAAAGGTATTTAGAGGGATTATTAAATAATATATTAATAAGCAGGATATTATAACTACCTCTATAATAGAGGTAGAGTTACTAGTACTTATATAAGCTATAAAGGAATTTATATTTATTTCTAAATTAATTACTAAGCTTAGTATAACCTTTAATAGCAGAAGTATTATTATTTAATATAATAATATATAGACTATTTACCTAATTAATAATAATATAGCTCTCCTATAGATTAAATTTTAATATATTAATATCTATAACTACTAGCTATACTAGGAAGTACTTATTAACTAGATTTTAATCTAGTATACATTTAATACTAAGATAATTATAAATAGCCTTATAAAGGTAGTACTTACTTAGTAGTTCTAGAAATTTATTATATAAATTAGCTTAATAAATATTAATAATATAATTTAAAAGAGAAGGTTTAAGGAGCTTACTATAAAGGACTTTATTAAAATAAAGGAATAACTTAATAGAGAAAGAGCTATATAAGGGATTAAAAGGATAGCTAACCTAATAATAGGAATACAAACTGGATAGACTAAGCTATAAAGGCCAGTCTAGGGGGGTATATTAAACAGATACTAGGATCTTATATATAAGTAGGGATATTTTAAAAGTATAATTAAAATAGTAAAATCTCTAAAAGGCAGAATGTAATAAAATAGAATATAAATATACTAATTTATGTTAATAAACTAAATATATATAATATTAGATATATATTACTTTCTAATATAAACCTAGCACAGACTAGTTTATCCTTTAGGAACTATAACTATTATATCTCCTTATACTTAAGGCTTATTCCTAAGGGTTGTAATAGGGTTTAAATATATTTTATATCTAAAAGCAGGTAATTTATAATTAGCTAAAAGTTTTTAAAAGAACATTCCTAGCTTTTATATAATATATAGACTTTATAAGCTATATATACCTCTTATTAAGTCTAAGTTTATTAAAACTATAGCTTAGTCTTAATAAGCTTAGTAGCTACTTTATATACTCTTAGGTCCTTAACCTCTTTATAAATACTACTTATACCCTCCTTATTATAAGTCTTAAATAGGCTAAAGAGATATTTATTATTATGAATTACTTACCTTAGCTAGATAATAACCCTATATGCCTTAAGATAAATACTAAATATTATCCCTATTTAGCTTACTTTTTTACTTAAGTTATTTTAATTAATATAAATAATATCTATTTATAATACTTATAGTTATTCTAGGAGTTAAAGTTATCTAAATATTATAAAGAGATTTATAAAAATTTAAAATAGTAGCCTATTTACTAAAATTACCTTAATTAGTATAAGATCCCCCTAAGTATATAATAATACCTTATACCTAGCCTTTTTAAAAGTTTTTATAATTATTATACCTAATTTCTTTTTAAGGTCTATTATAAATAGGTTATATTTAATATTAATATTAGAATTTATTAAAAAATATACTTAAAGCGCTCTTATCTATTATAGTCTTTGTGGCTTATATACCTAGCCCTATGCCCTAATTTTGCCTTAATACTAGGCTAGATCTATTTTAGGTATTATTATATTAAAAGGGGATTTTAGCTTATCTTAGGCTTGCAGTCAAACTTAAGCATCTAGGAACGATATTTAGGGAAGGAGAGAGGAGGGTCTGAGGTTTCAGATCACCTCTAGTTCGACATTGGTTGTCAGCCCCCACTGGAATCGGCACAATACAACACCGAGCCCTACTTTAATAAAAGCTGCAAACGAATATTGCAACGCAATGCACATATCCTGGCCCGTGCACGCTCTGGGGGTTCACGGGGCTATTATTCCGCTATTTCTGTATTACTAGCTAAGCTAAGTGAGTCATTTTACGTTTGCGATAAGGTTCCTACAGGGGAAAGGTCGGGCGGATCCGTGGGAGAATACAGGTTACTTAGAGATAAGCCAGAAGCACAGAGTTTGTCATTAAGACCACCAACCATCTGGGAAGCGGTATGGGATGTTAGGTGTCCCGCGGCGAAGACAGGGGCTTAGAGCACGAGGAAACCTTATTTACCCTGATGGAGAAAAGCTAACATGTAACCTAATGTATATATGTATATATGTATATTTTTCATCCAGGGGGCCTTCGGTCCCGAAAAGTCTCCTAAGGGATCACAGGACATGCTAAGCTAGACCATTACAACTGCTATCGCATCCAACCTCATCCAGAACACTTGCAATGTCCACTCGCACTAACAGAGAGCCTCGCAAGCACTTTCCTACTCGTAGCTAGCCCTGGCGAGTTGCGTGGTAGCCACTATCGGATTCATATAGGGTAGGCCAGCTCGAGTAGCTCCCAGGCAAAATATGCTGAGATGTCAATAAACACGCTGGTCCCGCTTGAGATGCACATTCATGCAAGTCAAAGCATAGTCACTGGATTTCGCCTATTAATAGGTTCTGTGTGATATTAATTCTGCCGTGATTAGAAATATATCTCCAAGTTGTCGTCCTATAGTCTGAGAACGCCATTTGTGTTCAGACAGCAGTCTAAGGGTCTAGGTCCCAGACCAAAATCCACACTCGGCAGACATACGACTGACCCCCCCAGACCTTCACATGGAGGCTCAACGTCCATGGCCCCATCGTTCAACTTTGCGTACGTAGGCTGAATAACGAGCTCAAAAGAATCAATTCTAATCAGACGCCAGGCTAGCTCGAGAAGAGCGCGAACCTAACGCGGATGGGACAGGGCTCCAAGCTGTGGAGCCAGGCAGCAGATTCTCTTGCGCGTAACTCGAAAGGCTTCGCTTGCTCGCACTTACCCGTGACACATAACACGCCGTAAGTCAATATAAAGAAGTACCATAACGGCATTGGCAAGCACGCAGGGATAAGAGGTCTAGCCGTGATTAATTGTTACATGGCTGCTACGTAAGGCTAGTAAAAGGGGATGAAATTGTATAGTATCTTAGCTTAATAATCATTTCTTAGCAAGAAATATATATCCTTTTAGCCTACTTTTACTATTATTGGATTAATTATTTAATTCTATCTTTTATAAAGAAAACCCTATCTTAATTTGACCTGATTTGCTGTTGGAAATTAGGTTGCAGTTAAAGATATCTAAGTTTGGCATCTTGTCCTGTCTTTCTTATTATTGGCTCACACCGTCAGAGTACCTTCAGTTTAAGTTATTTTCATCGGCTGTACACCCTTTTCATATCCCCTCTATTGGCTTGTGCCACTTAAAGAGATTGGCTGCTATAGCTGTAGGTACAGTCCGGGCGGCTGTGCGGTTTGCAGTGGCTACAAATCGACTCAACAACACGCAACGTTAAAGACAGATTGCGAAACCTTCACTGGCAGCATTTTGGAATTTGCATGGCCAAGAAGGACGTCAGAGGGACGACGCCGCTGAGGCCACAGACCCCCAGATTTTCACAGAGATGGAGAGCAACATAATTATACAAAGACATTTAATTCTTCCCCGTCCTCAACGGTCACAAGATTTAGAGATATCGCTTCTTTCTTTATGCGGGATAATAGATAATGAACTACTGCCGTCGAAAGAGTATGCAACATGTTCTCCCTCCACCTCTAATCTCTACCTGGCCGTCTAGCACCCAATCTCTCACACCCTCCTGCATACACATTTACAGACAGGGGTAAGCCCACCGCAGTAGGATTCCGAGCAAGTAAAAAAGTTACAGTTGCCATATTGCTTGCAGCACTGCGATATGCAATCTCCTTTTATAGTAATTGCGTTAATTCCTCGCCATTAACTGAACAGAGAAAGATCCGACTTACGCTTGGTACAAGCCCGCTTCTCCTACAAACCACATATGTTAGCTAAATTTTATATGTGTAATATGCCTTGGATCGAGAAGAGGGGAAGAATGAGGGAGGTCAGGCATACGAGGCTTTCAACTTCATCAGTCGGCGCCGCAGCGGCTAGGGCCACGAGCAGAGTTGCTACAGCGAAGAAGCGCATACTGTTAGTTGTATACGAGACGTGAAATGGTTTCTCCTGATTTGGTGTAGTGTTTTACTTATTGCAAATTAATATTAAACAATGAGGCCACTGAAGCAAGTAAAGGATACTATAGATATTTTATATATGTGTTGCTACTTGCTAGCAGGGCACGAGAGCGGGGTACGGGTAAATTATATGTCTTTTAGGCATCTAGATATAGTACTATCCTAGATCTAGATAGTTCTTCCTATCTTAATTAGTATAGATATAGTCTTTTAATATTTAATATTACAAATTAAGCCGCGCTTACGGGAGTCTAATAAAGTAAAGCTGTTAAAGCAACAACAGTAAGATCGGACCTCTAATTACCCGACAAGTCTTAATACTATTCCGACCATATAAGAGAGTTAATACCTAACGGCATTTTTATTACTCCGCATATTACTCTCCCTGCATATACGGGAAGACGATCTGCATTAAGAATCGATTCGATGTGCCCTTCCCCGCGTTATGCATCGCAGCGTCGTATTAAATTCTTTAACAGGACTAGCAGTATATAGTGAGCCTTTTCCTGAGACCTTATTACGACGGTTAGTTATAACGGTGTAAGGCCTCTATTGAAATGGAACATTTTTTATTAAGAGGGGCAAAGAAGAGTAATCGATAGAGATTGTACATAGCTTTATACTTTGACAGTAAATCTCAACTGGAATCATACCGCCTGGCATTAGCCTGTTTAATTTGAGCCGCCCCTATTCTGAAGGACCCTATGGGTGTCACACTCTCCTTAGGTATTTGGCCGAGAGTTACACCGACAGTGGTGGCATGTGAGCACTCGGACTCTGATGATCCGACTGGCTAATGTGCAATATATTTGTTTGTCCGTTGTCTTATATTTTAGGTATAAATACGCCTAAGCAGAAATTATTTTTCAATGCTTCCATCGTCAGCTCTAGGAGTTTTCTATGCTATATAACATTAACACATCTTCACCTGCCAATATGCATCTATTTAAGCTTCTCCCTCTCTTTCTGGGCCTCTCGCTTGCCCTTCCGGCTGCTGAAGCCGATCCCAATTCACTCGAGGCTCGAGCATGCACATACAGTACATTCTCTTTACCCTCTCTCCTCAAAGTTGTAGACCAATTTACTCACCGTTTTGCAGGTAGTTGCGTCTCGAAGTGCTGTAAGGACGCTGGGTGTAATGGGTTTTTGAATTGTGGTAGATCTAGGGTGAGTACCAGAGATACATGCTTGAAATTAGCAGTTGGGTTTGAATATTTGCTAAGTGTCGTCAGTGCTCGGGTGGTAAATGTACATGCCACTGCCAATATAACTGAATTCATTCACAGTGGGCAAGAGCCACGGTCGACGTAAGTTTCCTAGTATTATGCACAATGTACTAGGAATTAAATAATAACTAACTACTATTCCAAGAAGCGCAATACAAGAATAATTTGAGACTACATGCGAGGCTATTATTCTAATGTCTAGATGTTAAGACCCTGTGTTTATTAGCCTCATCGGCAGTCATTACAATCTAAGAAATACCATATAACTTAGGAAGCACGCATGAGCAACAGTGAACTCAGCGCGCTCATTCTTATAACTTTGCCTGCCAACCATTAACCAAGAAGTTCATCACATATTGCCAACATAGCATCCGTAGTATGCAATGCGATATACCACCCGCGCCTATTCCATAATATCTTTTCTTTAGAGAAATTCCTTTGTTTGCATTTATCCCTATAACAGCAGCCCAAAAATACCTCAAGATCGTGTCTTACAGTCATTCTGTAACCTTTCCATGCCTGCATCGCCAACGCCAACACTAACAATGCCCCCGAGAGTCAAGCTACTGTGCACTTGTTTACCTGTCCCAACTTTAAAAGTCTCACCTGGACTCGTGTATTGTCAAAGGGGGCCTGCCGAAATCTAGTACACAATTGCGACTTAGGTTTTCAGCACCACTACCTGAATTGCCAGTCTTCTGTGGGTTTATTGAATATAAGTTTGTATCACTAATATGTCAATACATTCATTTCGGCCATTATGTCTATGTTGCTGTTGCAGTTCGTGGTCAAAAGTAGAAGCCTCGACGGCCCTCATTGGCGGAGCACTGTGAGCGCTACACTTCCGTTTCTGGACTAGTAGTATCCCGTTATCGGATCCGTGAGAAAGATGGAGGAACGATTAATGATAATTTGGAGAAAAAATTGAACCTAAAATGGTTAGAATTATTGATAAACTTTAGAGGGGTAGGTAGAGCACACTTACTTGAAGTGTCTATGCCATTGTTACGTTGTGTATTTTATATAATGGGGCGTGCAATTGTTATCGCGGTGATACTCTATTTTGGACCCTACTAACTAATAACCAAATCAACTCTAATATACATAATAAGCAACCGTCGCCGATAAGCAAGCCTTACACTTTTCCTACCTATATCTTACTTTTCCTTTAATTAATTAATTCTTAATTATAAACTATATTATAATTTAATATTAAGGTAAATACTTTTCTTACCTTTTAAGCCCTTTAAAATAACTTAATATTAAATTCCTAATAAGCTATAAATAGGTATTGTTCCCGTACAACGGGGGAGGAACACTGTTCGTCAATCTTGTTCTGCGAGAACAAGCCTGCTCGATCGAAAAGTCCAAAAAGAAACTTGGTGTTCATTGTAAGGGCTCCGAATGCCTCACTACCTCTGTAGGTTGCTAGGATCAATGGTATGATGAGAGCTTGAAACATAGGAAGCTGGTCAGATGAAACATGAGCACAGTCGTGACTTTGCTTCTGATAGTTGAACTTGGAATAACCTTAGCATACTTCAATGGCAACAATACTTCTACCGAGTCTCACTAGTGTTTTACTAAGATCTTGCAACAAGACGTCATACTGGAGCTGCGCCATTTCTCTTGTGTTGGGGTGCTGTTTCACCCAAAGGCCAGCGACAAGTACTGATCGTACAAGACGTTCTGGTTGAGGTGTGCTGACAAAGATCCTGTGGCCAAGCAACGGCCAATGCGGATGAATTCGACAAAAGTAGAGTTCAATCAGCTCCATGTTCTCTGAACCTAAGGTTTGGTCAATGCATACTATATGTTCAGGTCTCGTCTTAATTGCGAGGGATTCCTCTGAACGCAGGCTCTGGGTCACACAACTAGTGGTGAACATAGCCTGGACTACCTGATTGCCATTCGTACGAGTTGAATTGATTGCATCATCGGAGGAAGCTAGAGGGCGTTCCTGCCTACCGGCGGTGTCAGGCTCTGACTTGGGTACTTTGTGGGAAAGTGCTATATGCCGATTACAAAGGTCCCTAGCAATTAATTAACAGCTTGGTCGTAAGATAACCGCTGTCTATATAGGTTGACTGGTACTTTCTGTTGAATGTGGCGGTACACAAATGGCACTGAAATGGTCGGAAATCAGTGTGATCCTTCTGGTGCCGAACCAGATGCTCTTTCCGCAAATACGAGCGGGAACAGTTTCTTTCCTGGCACTCGAATCGATCTCGCGGGCCGACCATGGTGTGAGATGACAGTGATGACGGGATACGCTTGCAGGATACGCTTGCGGGATGATGTGGGCTACAGTGTGCATTTTATAGAATCTTTCACCAACTAAAAAAGAAGATTGCCCCATAAGAGATTCAAGCTACAAGCCGTTTGGGTAAAATGGGGCTAGTCAGCCCTGTTCTCCACTTACGGTGTGAAGATAAAGGCGGTTGACCCTATCTTTAGAGCCGACCGGGGCAAAGTGTTCTGCGATCCCGACACTTCCGAGTCGCAAGTTCGCAGAACTGTTATGCAAATACTACCCGGATTTCCGGGCGGCTTTGACAGATCAGAGGCCGCATCGATAGAAGCCGTGGACATAAGGCCTGAATAAAGCACCAGCTGTCACACAAAGCCCAATCGCCATAAATCCAATCCATTAGAATAAGCGCTGCTATTAGATCATATATGATTTCTACTGGTGCTAATAAATCTAGTATCCCTTTAAGCGGTACAGCCCTTCAGGTCACTCGCCCCACTTTGCTTAGTCACAAGCTTAGTACGTGCAGGGTACTAGGCAGACCTGGTACTGCTGCCGAGTCTGGTCTGTGAGGTAGCTCTTTGTAACAGTCAAAACTGCTGGGACTTTTACCATTATACAAATTGGTATGTACCGCTCAAAGGGATAAGAAGCTGATGATCAGGGACTTGCTAAAAAGCCTGGGGTTTATAGGTAAGCAAAACCTTATTTTATTCTTCTATGTTTATACTGTATAGTGCATGGGCATCTTCCTCCTTGCAGATTTAGGTGTGTGCAGAAGTACCTTTTGTTTTGTTCATTTTGATTGGCTTTACGTCCCTGTCGGTACCCCGCTGCAGTCTTGTGCCGGTCAAAGAGATAAGAAGATCAGGCCCACAGGTTTTATTATGGGGTGCCTCGGCAGTTGTAGCTAGGCTCCACTCAACCCCACCTGCCTGCATACTGGGAGATCTGCTGATGCTATCTTATTAACCAAAACACTCAAAAAACCGCTCTATATGAAGACTTTTCTGACCAAGTTTCTGGGGAGCTCGCTTCTTTTTCCCCTTAGTTCAATGTTCATTGCAGTAACCGATCAACATACATCAAACTTCTCTATTTGATCGCCGAGAATAAGCACCAATAGAGACAACCTGGACCATGTCGTACCGTCCTGAAGAGCCAGGGAACAACAGCATCATCAATAGTGATGTCGGCACATATGCCAAGTTGTTCAACAAGAAGGTTGACCCTCATAACGAAGACCTCATCCACTCTGTCATTGAGAATGGATTTGTCATTCTTGAAAACATGTTCACTGAAGCTGAGGTTGAGGAGGCTTGTCAAGAATTGAAGCGACTGTCTGAATCCGATGCTGCCGGCCCGGCCAGTAGTGGCGGTCGCAACAAATTTGAAGGCTTCCGTACCAATCGTATTTACGCTTTACTCAATAAGTCAAGGGTCTTTGATAAATTCGTTGCTCACCCAAAGATCGTGGCTCTTAACGACTATTTCTTCGATCCTGGTTGGCTGGTGAGCACATTCCAAAGCATCACCCTCCAGTCAGGCGCAGAGGCTCAGACTTTGCATCACGATGATGGCTATATTACCGTCCCCCGGCCCCACCGGCCTTTTGGGTCTGTAAGTCTTGATACCTTTATACCCTCTCAGCTCCTCAAGAGTGTCCAGCCTTAGTCCGGACGTGAGATTTTAGCTAATACGTGGCTTCCAGGCTATTATGATTTCACTCGACGCATATACAGAATTCAACGGTTCGACTGTTGTTGTGCCAAAATCCCATGAATGGGGACCAGATCGCATACCGAGTCGTGCTGAGGCCCTCCCCGTCGTTATGCCACGGGGAAGCATTGTTTTCTTCCTAGGCACATTGTGGCATGGCGGTGGTCAGAACACATCGGACCATGAACGTCGCGCTCTCACAGTCCAGTACTGTCAGCCTTGGGTCCGCCCAATAGAGAATCAGATTCTCGCTGTCAACTTCGGAAGACTACCTGAAATCCCCAAGCACATTGTCGACATGATGGGTTACCAGGTTGGTAAACCTTTCATCGGCTTCGTCAACGGTGAAAGTCCTCTCAAGGCTGCCCAGAGACACTTGAAACGCTGGAAAGAGTCAAACGTCATAAGCAGTAAGCTTTAGCAACGGTAAACGTTGGGAGTAAACTGAGTGGATAGTTCAAGTAGGGAGGAGAAAGCATGGATAAATTGTATAAGATAGCTCTTAGTCGCACAATAATTCAAAATGCCAATCGGTAGAAGGAGCAGTAATACTCTAATGGTCAGTCCGTGTACTTTTGGCTAAGTAGAGTTAATATGACAGATTTCCTTTTAACGGAGATCTCTCAGTCTACTAGAATAATTCCTAACCTCTTGGTCTATGCCTATATACAGTATCTTCAACTAGTGAAGAATAGGATGGGGAGGAATTATTATCTCATGCATGGATAGGCAGCTAAGGTCAAATGAGCGCTTGATTTCTAGAGGAGCGACGAGAGTTGGTCCTTATACTCATGTTCAGGCTGCCGATCGTCGAGGCAGCAGGACGCTGACTGTGATTTAGAGTTCATGGCAACCGTAAAGTTATTCCCGATGGTTGTGATCCTTGCCCTTGACAGATACAGTGGGTCACCCGAGCTGCAGGCTGAGTTGATCGCTGGTACGCTACGGAAGTTCAATATTACTGCTCAAAACCTCGGCTATTATATGGGCGATAATGCTACATCAAAAAACACCTGTTTAGAGGAGCTCTTAAAGGTTTTTGCCGCCTACGTCGTATCAGGATCCCAGTCTCTTGCATGTGTGAGGGGGTTTTGGCTAATGAACTAGCTATACCTCAACCACACATGCATGTCTTTACCCGCTTTTTGTTTTGAGTATTAAAGCCCGGTTCTTAGGTGCCAATAAGGCGTTTGTGTTCAAGTCCTCGAACCTGAGGTAACAGACAACGTTTTTCTTCACAACAACCCAGTCTACTAATTGCCCCTTGTATCTTCATTATGTCTGATGGGTGGCACTTGTAGCGGACAAATATTCTTAGTTGATTGAACAAGCTTCATCAGTGGTGAACACGACGTGTAATGTTTGTGACTGTGATTACTCCTGATTAAGAAGGAAAATTGTCATTCTAGTACGATGCACCCGAACCTCCGTTTTCCCCCATCCTCAACAAATACTCTTGCACCGCTTCTAGTGCCTGTGACGTGTATCCCTGCATAGATTACCGTTCCAAGCCTCGGCTCAGCTCGGCACAAAGTGGGACAGCCTCCATTCTCAAATGAATGGCGCCGTGAAAGCACCGTCGGGGAATATACGGTTTATCATCACCTCTGACTTCTTTGATACATAACGCCAGGTGAGGCATACTCTCTTTCTCGTTCTCACAGAGGATTCATCTAACCTTTACCTACTCTCTTCTGACATGGTTAAAGTTGCTGTCGCCGGTGGCTCAGGTGGCCTTGGCCGCGTTATTACTAAGGCTATTGCTGATGACGGAAAGCATCAGTTGATTCTCCTTTCCAGAGAGGTGAGTTGGCTTGGGGCTACTTTGATGATTTATTTCTCTCATACCTGTAGGCCAAAACTCACATCATTGGAAACCACACCGTCACATCGCTCGCCATCGATTATTCTGATGTGAGTGCAATTGCTGAGGTTCTGAGGAAGAATGAAGTGCGGGTTGTGATTAGTGCTATCGGCGTGTTGTTCGAAGATACACACCGAGCGCAGATCAATCTCATCAAAGGGGCTGCAGAAGCTGGTACTGTTACTCGATTCGCACCGAGCGAATTTGGCATTGATTATATCAAAGCCCGAGACAAGTGAGTGCCGTCACGTAACAATTATAGGTCAAGTTCTGACTACCGCAGTGGCTTTCCTTACCCGCTTCCTGGCCTGCAACAGTACACAGTGAGCCAGTACAAGATTGAGGCAATTGATCTTATAAAGACAACGGAAATGGAGTACACCAGATTCATGATCGGGTTTCTCATGGATTATTATGGCTTCCCGGCTGAGCCTGTTCCTGTCATCCCCCTTGCCGTAGTCCTCGATGTAGAGAACTTGAAGGCTGGCATTCCCAGCACAGGCAACGAGACCGTCACTCTGACCCATTCCGAAACACTTAGCAAGTTTGTCGCTGATAGTCTGAGTGCACCCGAGTGGCCAGAGAAGTCGTGGGTTGTAGGTGACACTATCTCGTGGAACGAAGCACTCAAGCTTGCCGAAGAAGGTCGAGGTATATAGCAGCCGTGTAAGATCCAGAGCCTTACTAACTCTGTAATAGGTCAAAAGTTTGAAGTAGCTTTTGACTCTCCCGAGTCACTACGCCGTTCAGAGATTACTGAGCTCCCAGGCAATATTCCGAGATACTCGGTTGCCCCAAAGCAAGTCTTAGATGGAATCTTATCGCTCTGGAGCTTAGGATTTATGGAAGGTTGGTTCGACTTGACTAAGCATGTGGGAAGTGACAAAACTCTCAACGATCTTTACCCTAAAGTAGAAGTTCTCAAGTTCAAGGACTTTCTTTCGAGGGCTTGGAGTAAATAGATAATATAGTACATAGGCTACTTCTATTCAACTTGGAAACTAGTTACTTCTAAGTCAGCTTCGGCTGCGTTATATACATATAGTCAAATCTATATACTTACTAGACTGGGTTTTTTAGAGTTATAGAATATGCGACGCTTTGCTAAATATGAGTTTTTGAACTCATGTATAGGGGTGACGGAGATATAGGGCATCAACACAATGCTACTGTAACTCTAAATATAGGTAAGACTAGGGTATATAGTACTCCGTATAGTGCTTTAATTATGTTTAACAGGAATATATGTAGTTTCAAGCCGCGGAGAATAAGCTTGCATATATGAAATAATCTTTAATAAGGACAGTCTATCTTATAATCGTTTTATAGGTTCTTAATACTACCTGGACTCAATGTTCGATACTTAACAATAAGGTAATCTTGCTCTTATAACACTTAACGCAATAACGCTGCTACTAGCCTTCTTGGGTAGATAGGAAATAAAGAATTGCTAAAAGAAAATCTCTCTCTAGCCGCAAACCCTAACTTACATCATACTAATACCAGCCTCTGTTAATATAAGAGTTTCTGCTTTCTGCTATAATGTATACAATAAGTAAGTATAATAAATAAGTAAATATAATAAATAAATAACTATATTTAAGCATCTAAACATCTTAAATAGAAATAGCTATAAAAATATAATAAACTATTTATTATCTAAAATTAATTACTATATTCTTTTAAAAATATAATAATAACTATTTAATAGTCCTTATAGTATATTTTATCTTACTATAAGTTATAATATATTTAATAAGTAAATGCTTTAGAGAAGTAAGTACTCTACTATATTATATAACTAAAAGTAGCCTACCTTATAATACTTTTAAGCTATAAATAAAATAAATAAAAATCTAATAAAAATATTTTATAAAATAGTATAGTTAACCTTATTTAATAGTATTTTTTAAGGATTTTTAGCTATATTATTTTTATTACAATCCTTATAGCTATATTATATATACCTTACTAACTTTCCCTATTTAATTAATAACTTATACTTTCTCCTTATTTCTATTATAAGCGGCTTAATAAGACTTATAATTAAACTTATAGCTTATATATAAGTACTAACTTACTATTATAAGCTACTATAAGTATATAAATTATATTTATTAGCACTTTATAAAACTTAACTTACTAGCTATTAGTATAACTTCTTTATATTAATTAAGCCTAATATATATTAAATCTATTATTAAAAATATAATACTTTAATAATACTTAATATATACCCTATACTATATATTAATAATAAACCTAATATAACTTAATTTAATATAATTAAACCTAATTATTATATATTAATAGCTTTTATTTAAATTATATTATATAAATACTAAGTAATACTAAATATAATATTTATTAATATTAACCCTATCTAGTAGTAAAATATAACTACTAACCCTTAAAGGCAGTAAGCTATAATACTTACTTATCTTATACTTATTTTACTAGTAATAGCTAATAGATTACTAACTAATTAAGAGATAAAAAATATAAATAACTTATCTTAAAGCTTTACTAACTTAAAGATTAAATAACTTTATAAAAAACATAAAAATATTACTAATAAAATAAATAAGATATATTAAATATTAAATAAATTCTCTATTATATAATAATAATAAAATTAAAGTATTATATATACTTAATACAAAATATATACTATAGCCTTAGTAATAAATATTAAAAAGAATTTTAAAGAAATCCTTAAGCTTAACCTACTTAAGCCTTTTAATAAAACCCTTAATAAATTACTTATATTCCTTATATAAGGCTAAGTATTTATTATGTATTACCTAAATTAATTTTACTATAACTTTATAAAAGTTATATATATAATAAGAAGACTAATTAAAACTATAGCCTAATAGTTTTAACTTATTATAAATAATTATATTTAAATATTATTTTATAAAATAAAACCCTAAATTACTATTATTTTTAAAAAAGAAAGATTTCTTAAATTTAAAGAAGTATTTTATATAGCTTTTAAAATAATTAATTAAAAAATATAAGCTAAAAAGAAGATTAAAACCCTTAAGTAAATTAAATTAGCCTCAGCCTTAAAAGTAAAATTCCTATAACTTATAAATAAACTATTATAAGACTAAAATATATTAATATCTTTTTTCTTTAATATACTTAAAGAATTAATGTAAGTAAAATTATAATAAAAAGACTAATTATAAACCCTAATTAAATATATTAATATAGTTATTAGAATTAATAATTAATTATTTACTTAAAGAACTTGAAACTCTTAATATAATAAATAATAAGATAATAAACCTTATTATAATACTAATTAAGTATAGAAATATAATAATAATATATCTTATAATACTAAAGCAGGACTAATAGAAATTAAAATAATTAAATAAAATAAGTTTAAACTTACTTATTAAAATTATAATAAAAAAGGATATAGAGAATTAAAATATAAAAACCCTATTAAAACTAACTAAAAATATAAATTAATACTTAAAAAGAAGAAATATATTAATATTATAAGAGAAAATAATAAACCTTAAATAGTAATTAAGATAATTAATATAACTAGGAAGGAAAGATATAATATATTTAGTATTAATTTTATTATAATCTTAGGACTATTAAAAGTATATAATATATTTCTTAATAAGGATAAAACTTTTAAAAAATACTATTTTAATTTAATATTAGAGAAATAACCTATCTTAAGATATAAAATACTAGCTTTTATAAAAAAAAGAAAAACTAAGAAAGAAGCCCTTAAATAAAAAAGACTTAAATATACTAAAGATATAAAAGACCTTAAATTTAAAAGAAAATAAAATAAGTAATAATAAGGATATAAAAATAAATAAAGAATTTAATAAAGAGAAAACTTAAAACTAAAATTTAAGTAATAGGAACTAGTACTTATATAGAAAAAATAAAATAATAAATATAATAAGGTTATTATAATAATTAAAAAATAAAAAGAAGTTAACCCTAACCTAATAATAAACTAAATACTAAAGAGTTTAACTAAGGTATTAATTAAGTATTAATATAAACCTTTAAAAAGATAAAAGCACCTCTTAAAATCTAAAATAAAATAATTATTTATAATCCTTACTTAATAATAAATAATATTCTAATTAAAATACTTTTAAGGTAATCTAATAAATACTATAAAGACCTAGGCTATATTAAAGTAATTAAGGTATAAAGAGAACTTAATACTAAGATAATTAAATATAAGGAAAAATAAATAATTTAAAATATTAAAATTATACCTTAATATACTAAACTTAGAAATTATTTTTTAAATAATAAATACTAGAAATATATAGAACTTACTAAAGAAAAAGTAATTATAAAATAAGATAATAATATTTATATTTAAGCCTATATAAAGGAGGTAATAAAACATCTTATAACTTTAAAAAAATATATTTAATTAAAAAGAGAATTATAAAGGTATTTATAAGTTATCCTAAGACTAATAGCTTAATAAGCCCGAACCTCATCGCTATGTTTTACTTAACTTAAAACGCGCCCTTATTATTAAAACCGCCATTACTACCAGCATCTTAACCTTAGACTAATTAACCATCCTAGGTATAATATAACCTTATTAACTCTATCACCGCCACTATAACCTTCTTGCTTCTCGATCCAATAAGAGGCCATAGAACTATAGGGCTTATATAATAAACACTATACTTCTCACAAATAGTTCTTTCAACTTATTTCAGAGAGTCACACTAATATACATAGTATCCAATAATCACAACAGCCTTTCAAGGGCAAAAAGGGGGATAAAATAATACACTAAAAAAAAAAAGCAGCAAATCCGCTAGAAAATAACAGATTAAGAAAACTCATAAAGATCGCAATACATGCCAATTCGTAACAACGCTCACTCACTTACTCAAGATAGGTCGCCGAGCATTGGCCGCATAGGAAAGAGCAGACCGGCAGATATAGCAACAAGAGGCGCTCCGTACAAAACAAACACTAGAACTTGCTCGGGAATATGCTCTTGATCCAAATTTACGCGTCGTTGTTGACAGTACATTGCCTGCATCATACGCGTCACAGACCACTACAGCTACCATAGGTGCATTCGAGTCAAATCTAATGGCTAGCGTTCTAACGATAAGACTTATATGGCTAGATCCGCCGTACGCGAACGAAGACGACAATTCTCTAAATCCGCTAGCACGAGAAAGGCATACAGCTTCGACGCCTTACAAACCACCGAGCTTGCCGGGCCGCTCGAATACACAGCAAGATGTAGAATCCCATGATGCGCCGCTGATCGCCGAGCTTTCTGCATTGGCAAGTGGTGATGGTCCAGCGCCGTCGGGCGTCGCAATCTACAACCCGATCGGCTTCAGTCCTGCCGAAGCATCCACCCAACCGCCACCACTCACTGGGCAACATGACAAGTATTATCATGGGTATAATAATTTATAATGGTTGGAAGGGTCCGGGTTGACCTCTACGTTCAAATAGAAGGAGAAAACAGATTTTGACACACTATGTCTCAGCCACGCTAATGCACGAAGTAAAACGTACACTAGAATATAGGAAGAGCCTTTGTCAATTGACTTCTTTCAATGAATTGCATTTTACTCATTTAAAGCGATCTGTATCGGCCAAAAAGACCCATCACCAAACTTGTATAGGGTAAGCCGCTGGTAAATCGGGTTGTCTCCCCTGCCTAATAGCAACCAATCAGAGGCTGTTTAAAGTGTCCGGCATCCCTGCTGCTCCTTCGCGAGCCAATGAAAGCATGTTTAAAGTGAAAGTACCCCTGCAAATATCCACTGGCGACTTCCTGACTGAATATTCACTGAGCGTGCTTAAAGGGTTAAAGTGAATGTGATAAGTAGCAGCAAATGTGTTAATTGACCCTGCTCCGGCATAATTAAGTAGTTAGTAGTATATGATATTCCCATCCAATATCACGAATCCGTCAATCTATCGCCGCCCCTTTCATAGGAATGCACGTCTATACTTCCGCCATGTACCGACTCTGTCTTGAAGTCCATGCATTCATCCTCTCATCATTACCCTCCCAATCCGCCTTGATCAACCAGAACAGGGCCATTAACGGTGTCGTGAGTAACCCCCGAACGCCACTAAGAATAGCCTTGAAAACTTGTGGTATCTACCGATCTTGATATCTCTAATCCCCACTATCGCGTTCTCTAACAGTCGTTAAAACCGCCACGCTTAGGGGCCAGAGAATAAAGAAGCCCAAGACAGCGAGTATAAAGCCCCTTAGCGCCCCTTGCACGATTATCGTAAGTACAGGAGGGACCTTAGATTCCGGTTGAGGCTCTTTCTCCTCTACTTCTGAGTCGCCTGGATCAGAGGCTGGTGGGAGAAAGAATAGCCATGGAAGCCACTGACATAATGGTTCTCGAATAAAGCCAATCGGCTGGACAGACCGTTTCGAAAGGTCATAACTGACAAGTCCCATCTTAACGAACCACGTGAGAATGCATTGGATAATAATAGTTATAGCTGTATTACCTGTTAGTATGTTTGGCAGTTGAAATAACCGAATTGGGTTCTTGACGGTGTCTTGCGTGGTATACATGCCTATCCATTCTTATTAGTCTTTATCTCAAATGCCAGCTGCAAACTTACTATAAGCCAGAGCAAAATTCACACACCCGGATAAAGCCATAGCGCCTATACTATCAAGACCAAAAACATAGAATAGCTGATATACCGTAAGCTGTAGACTCGGCTTCAAGCGCCCCTAACTGTCACTGTCATCTCCACTTTGTTCCTATCCCAGGCCGCCCAGGTTGTCAGGTTTCAGGATCCCGCTAGACCCCTGCACATTCGGCCCCTGTGTCTCAAGTTGTGCCGCCGTAAGCATATCTTTTCCCTGGGGAGAACAACACCTGCAAACTTGTTTGGTTTGTCTTTTTCTTTCGTCTTGGGAAATTTTAATTAAAGGTTGCCTAGTGCTTAAAGGGGAATTCGGGAAATTAAGCGAGAAAGTCGCCAAAAGCTTGGACTTTTAGACGGCAAAAAAACAAAAGTCTGTTAGCGAAAAAGAGAGAATGCGAATACTAATCCGAGATTTACAATACCACTTTGTTGAAAAACTGTTCACATGGCACCATTTTACACCGCTATCTCATGGGCTGTCACTCGATTCTATGGCACTTGTTGAGAGTCGTAGTTGAAGGTTTTCCGACACTAGAAAAGCATAAAAACACACTATTTCCCTAAAGTTTATCACTCTCGGGTGGATGAACTGTTTGGGGTTAGCGTCATTGTGAAGCTCTTACGGTTTCACCACGATCGGTTCAATCGGCCCAAGAAGACGGCATGCAACGCACAGCTGACCTGTCAAGACGGAATTGATTGACGCCACCTGAGAATCTCGGTCTTTTGTCTATGTTCGGATAATTCATCCGTTGATTTAATCTGTCCAGCGGTTAATAGGTTCATCTTTATTCGTCTAGACTCTAGATATCTTAAAAGCGACGTAAGGAGCCATCGTCTCAGGATGATTGACCCAAAGCTTGGGCCTGCAAGGGACTTGAGATGGGGACTTGCAGAAAAATAAACACCAGTGACATGATCCCTGCAGCGCTAAAGCAGGAACAAAGAACGCTTGTATTTTTTCATCTTGTTGTCTCCCCGCGGTTTCAGGCACAGAGGTTCGTTGGCCGAGATGGCCAGCACAGCTCGCTAGCAAGAAAGGCATTTCACTTCGCTTGGGATGGCGTTGGCAGTTTTCAACTGAAATGACCGTATATTCATTTCTTGACAATAATCAATCTTACCCTAGGCCTCTATAAACTATCGTGAAGACCTAGATACTAGCCTCTAATATACTGTCAGTAAAATGCTACTCTAAACTTAATTACTATTAAAAACACTTTAACATGTGCATGGTCTGCTCATATCTCGATCAATTATATCCATATTGCCACAGGGGCTGAAACCGCCTTGACCAACACCATGCAAACCTTCACCACCCTCACCAGCCTTATCCCTGATGGCATATCGACCCGAGCAAGACACCCCTACATCAATCTATCCAGGACAGGACCGTTCCGTTTAGCCATGGGGCTATTTGCCCGGCAGCCTAAGTCTCCAAACATTAATATAAACCGTCTTCTTTCTCCCTCGAAGCACTCTCTTTCTCCACTCAGGCTCATTCAGCAGTTCATTTTATTCACTTTTTGCTCCTTGCACATTCTTTCACGGTTCTTTAATAGAAGTTATTTTATTCATTTATTCACTTAAACCGCCAGTCGGATATTACCACTCTTTATAAACCAAACAAACCACCTTTCTTATATAATGCCTTCTTTTACCTCAAAGACTCTTCTCGCCGCCGTTGCCGGTGCCATAGGCGTTGCTGCCCACGGTCACGTTTCCCAGATCAACGTTGCTGGCACTGTCTACGAAGGCTACGATGCCCCCACTGCTCCCTACTACTCGACCCCCAAGACCCTCATCGCCTGGTCAACCACCGCTACCGACAACGGTTATGTCGCCCCTGATGCCTTCAGCTCTGCAGACATCATCTGCCACCGCGGTGCTAAGAACGCCAAGGGCCACGCCAAGGTCAAGGCCGGTGACCAGATCTACATCAAGTGGACCAACTGGCCCGAGAGCCACAAGGGACCTGTCATTGATATGTTGGCCTCTTGCGGTTCTGCCGGCTGTGAGACCGTCGACAAGGAGACCCTCAAGTTCTTTAAGATCGACGAGGTTGGTCTCGTCAAGGCCGATAACCCCGGTACCTACGGCTCTGACGAGCTCATTGCCAACGACAACGGCTGGCTCGTTCAGATACCTGAGAACATCAAGGCCGGTGCCTATGTCCTCCGTCATGAGATCATTGCTCTCCATGGTGGTTTCCAGGAGGACGGTGCCCAGAACTACCCTCAGTGCTTCAACCTCGAGATCAAGGGTTCCGGCACTGAGCAGCCCGAGGGTATTCTTGGAACTGAGCTGTACAAGCCTGACGACAGGGGCATCAAGTTCGACATCTACAGCAACCCTACCAGCTATCCTATCCCCGGCCCTGCTCTGATCAAGGGTGCTGTTGAGGTCACGCAGGGCAAGCTCGCTGAGAAGTCCCAGGGTACTCCCACCACTGACTACGATTCCGGTTCTGACTCTGGCTCCGACTCTGGCTCTGCCGCTCCCGCTACTCCCTCTAAGACTGAGGCTCCCGTTGCTGGTACCTCCGTTGCTGCTCCCGTTGCGACTTCCTCTGCCGCCCAGGAGCCTTCCACTCCTGTCCAGACTTCTGCCCCTGCTGCCCCTAAACCCACCAAGACTGGCTGCAAGTCTAAGCGCAGCAGCAAGAAGGCTCGCCGTCACGCTCGCGACCTCATGAACTAAGCAGCCCGCTGAGCGAGGTTGTGTATGAAAGGTTTTTACAAGGATCAAAAGCCTGCCTATCCTGAATGGGATGAATCTTTGAGTATTCTGCTGTATATATATGTGACCTCGAGTCCGACATTATTCAATTACATTGATTATCATTCATGACATATTATTGGGAGCATGGGTTAAAGGAAGTTGAAAGGGGGCCGCTCTTAGTTTCATAATAGCTTGTAAACCACAATAATAACACCACGCTAGTCATACTCCGTAGATATCTTAACCTAGATACTTGGCATCTGCTTCCTCAACCACCTGCTTCGTATCCAGCTCATCTGAGTAGAGACCATCCGGCGCATCGCCAAAGATGACAGAGATCTCCTCAAGCGTACGGCCACGAGTCTTGGGATAGAGAAAGAAGATTACAAGGCCATAAGATAAGAGAAGTGCCACATAGATAATATAGTACTTCTAACAAATGGCTGATAAAGCAATTGGGTTCACAAACACGTTGAAAATGAGTGCCAAGATCATGATCCTCCACGCTACAGAGAGACCGCGACTGCGTAGCTGGAATGGCCAGAGCTCAAGAGGGTACGCAACCTGAAGAGGGGTTCTACCGAGAACTGCGTTAGTGACACGGTTTAGGATGTAGGCAAGCAGAGTGGACTTACACTGCAATAGCGTAACCAGCATTAAAGAGAAACACGAATGGAATCATGGTAATTCCAACTGAGTGCGATCCAGTCTGCGCAAAGCTTCCTGATATAGCTGTAATCAGAATAAAGCTAATAAGCATAATCGCACAAGAGATCATGAGAAGAAGTCGTTGTCCTAGTCGCTCAACGCATAAGGCACAGCGCATGCTGCAATAAAACTCCAGATCTGGAGATAACCTATGATCAGGGTCTGGTCTGTGATGCTAGTGATGCCTACTGTAGCTAGAACGGTAGAGAGATAGTAGCTGACGACTCCATTGCCAACCCATTGACTGTAGATTGCTAATGATGCAGTGATGAAGAGGCGGCGACGATGTGCTGGTGTAGAGACGAGTGATGCATAGGAGCTTGACTGCTTGGCTTGTTTCTCGGATTCAATGGCAGTGGTGATTTCGTAGAGCTCAAGTCGACAAGAGGATGGTTCGAATCACCCCCCTATTGTAACAAGAGCTCGTTGTAATGTGTCGAATTAGACAGAATCTGGCCCGTGCACGCATCGAGGTCCTTCTAAATAAGGGAAAGATCATCTTAACCCCCCACTTATTCTTCATTCTGATTGCAATTTCCTAACTATGTATATTAGCAAGATCTCCCCTATTAGCCTTTATCGCGGTAGAACGCCAATAACATAAGAATTGATACTACTCCTTAAATTATATCCTTATAGGTTTAGTTAAATAGCCCTGCTTAAATAATATTAAATTATTAAATATAAGGAGAGTTAGCTTTAAGTAATTAGAGATATAAAATAGTAAAATAGCTATATAATTTTTTACCTAAATCCTATATAATACTTATTAAGCTAAGTTAATTAAATAAATTATATTAACTACCTAGCTTATACTAAAGTGCTTTAGTAAATTAAAAGATTAAATAACTATCTTAATATTAGTTAAGTTATATTTCTTAAGACTATACAATATAAAAAAACAAATATAAAAATAAAAAAATAACCCTAAAATTATAAAAATATATATCTAGCATAATGCCTTACTTTATTATATAAAAGAGCTAAAGATATAAAATAAGTATAAATTCCCTTAGTATTTATATAAATTATAGTATTATAGCTTATATAGCAGCAGTAAAAGGATATAAATTTATTATTAAGCTATTTCTAGATATAGGTAAAGTTAATATTAATGCCTAAGATAGGGATAGCTAGGTATATAAGATTATTAAAAGAATTATAAGTATAAGAAAAAGCTCTCTTTAGAGTAAGAAAAGGAACCCCTAAGGCTAGCAGTTAAGTTAAAGAAATATTATAATATAAAGAATTAGCTACCTAATACTAAGCAGTATAGTAAATACTAGGCTATCTAATTAGCCTTATTAATAAGGCTTTTAGTACTTTAAATTCCTATTATCTTGCAGCTTAAACTAGAATAATTTATAGTGATGTAATTATTTGGGCTGATGTAGATATATCTGAATCCCGTTATAAGAAAGCATTACGGCTTAAGATCTAGAACATTAGTCGCTATTTTTAAGGTTTTCAATACCGAGCCACATCGATGCTACAGCCCTATTAAGTATTAAAGGGGTATGCTGCCAAGCCACCGGGCTGTTAATAGCAGGGTCAAGCCGCAAAAGTGTTAAGCCTTAATAGGCTATTCCTAGAAGAGCCTAGTCTGCTTAAAGTGTATGTCTTGTCTATTAACCTGGCCTAACTAGTATAGCTAAAGCCCCTTCTTAATATCCTCCCCGCTCTCTAATAGGCTAGGATATAGCTATATAAGTCTTATATAGTTAGATTATAAGGTCTCTAGGCTTTAGTTATTATATTATTACTAGAGGTATAAGTAATATCCTTTAAATTAAAATAATTTAGTTATATTTATTTATAAATTTAAAAATATATATAATAGTTATTAAAGTCTTAATAAAAATCCTAATTTTTATTAATATTATTATTATTAATTACTTACTTAATAAAATAAAATAACTTAATTATATTTATTTTTACTTATTAAATTAAGCCTTTTAATAAAATATATTTTATTATTATTACCCTCTCTGCCCTCCTTGCCTCTACTACCTTAGCTATTCCCCTTAACTTTACTCCTTATAATAACCTAGATAATAATATCTTTCTAGACTTTAACTCTTACTTAGACTAGGCAATTTATAAAGGTAAGATTACTAAGGATTACTTTCTTAACCTCTAGGCTCTTAATTATAATAATAGCTATATTTACTATTATTAAGGTATTAATATAACTAGTATTATTATAAAGTAATACTTTTTCTTTAAGGATAGCTTTAAGATTACTTATAACTATATTATTAAGTATTTAAAAGAACTTAATAAGTATATAAACTAGGTATAAAAGTATACCTTTATATTAAAGGATAGTAATAAGTAGTTATATACTTTATATAATAATCTTAACTTACTAATTAATATAATATTTAAGTATAACTTAATAAATAATAAAGGCTTTAATTTATTATAGGCTATAAATAACTTATAGACTAAAGCCCTTATATTATTAACTTTCCTAAATATAGCTAAAATAATCTTTAATAAGTTTAATATATCTAGCTTTATAATATAGGATTAAAATAGCAGATAGTTTTATTAATAAGCTTATTATTTTATAAAAATATATTATTTTTTAAATTAACTTAAAAAGGGGGGTTAGATTAATATAATATATTACTTTAATTTTATTTATTATTTAGATATTTAAGATTTATTTTTTTATATTCTATTAGTCCTTAATAAACTACCTTTAGTTATAAATAAGGGATTATATATACATTTTAGGAATAGGTTTAAGCGGCATATAGGCTCCTAAGGAAAACATAGATAGAATTAATATATAATATAAATAGAGAATTAGCAGAGTTTATAAATAAATTTATTTAGTAGTATTACTATTAAGATAGATATAGATAGTTTTATTATAATTATTAATATACTAGTAGCTAAAAGTTAAAGTATTAATATTTTATTTACCTTATAGTACTTATATTACTATAATAAGGTTAATTAAATATAATAAATTAGATTATATACTTCCTGTTATTATAATTTCCTATTAAATCTTACTATATTAATTAGTACTAGTAATAGTACCTAATAACATTTTATTTAGCCTATATATCTTTCTTTTTTAGTTTTTCTAGGGGATTTAGGTCTAGGTCGGAATATAAGAATATTTAGCCTATATATTTTCTAGAAGCCTAATACTAATTACTTATTACTGCAAATAGGAGGTATCTTTTATATTATAAAAGGTATGCTGAAAACTTAATTATAATAAATATAATTTAGAAATTTTAGGTATTATATCCCCTACTGCAATAATTGCTGCGAAGATTGCGAATAATACATATATCCTGGTTTGTGCACGCTTAGAGGTTTTACTATTTCGGTTGTAATCTTAAAGTATCCCTGCTTGCACGTGAGACCCCAGCACCTGTTCAACAAAAGCCTCGTTGCCAAGCTCGAGAAACCACCTCTAGCCATTCAGAATTGCCAACTTTGCCGTACGCCCAAACAGCAGGGATTAAATTGCTCTTATATCTTGGCTAATACTACACAAAGCAGGCGGCATAGGCCTAATGCCTAACGAACGCTTTGGCTCCAGGGGGGCAGGGGCCCGGCTCTGGCCCCCATTTGCCCTAGGAGCGGCCCGAGAACGGGCTATTATATGCATAAGCACTAAAGAAGTATAGTAGGAGGGGAACCCCTATCTATACTAGCTTAAGGTTGCTAAAGAGTACTTCTTAAAGCTGTAGAATGCCTTTTAAAATAGAAGTACTTTCTATCTTACTTTTATTAACTTACATTATAAAGCGTCCTATAGGCCCTACTGCTATTAAATATATAATAATCCTATTTACTGCCCTTTTAACTACTGCCACCCTTTATTTCTATCTTAAGCCGCCTGCCTTAATAATATATGCAGATAAGTAATAGAAGTCTAAATCCCTAATACCGCCGCTACAGGAGGCCCTGGCTAAGCAGCCTCTAGAGGCAGATATAAGTTATATTATTTTCCCTAATTATTAACTAGCTAATATTCCCCTTTAAGATAATCTTCCTAATAATAATTCTGCCTATACTATCTTATAAGTTTATAGATATGCAATTTTAAGTTAAGTGCTAATTATTTTATTAGAGAAAACTTATATAATTATTAAACCTTATTAGCATTAAGTATTATAAACTATAAGTATATATACTAAGTAGTTATTATCCTTAGTAACTTCTCTAACTAGCACTTACTCTAGTAATATAGATATAAGGTAAATATTAATAAGAATTCTAGTTTATTATTAGTTACTTATACTAGTTAGAATAGATATTACTACTATGCCTTTTATATAGGCACTTATTTATTTATATATTCCCTATAATAGGTATTAGGAAGAAATTTAGCTAAGGTATAATAGCTAAATAATAATAAAGAACAAGACTAGATAGATCTTATATATTACCTATATAGCCTATTACTTGGCGGCAAGCTCTTCCTAGCTTTAATCCCTTATAAACCCTATTATGTCCTTAACCTCGGCACTAGTACTGGTATCTAGGCTATAGACTTTGCTAAGTATATCTCCCTAATTAAAGTTAGTATAATTATCTTACTAATATAAATATAGTAAATATCTATCTGCAGAGGTAATTAGAACGGATCTTAGTCCTATATAGCTAAAATAATAGACCTTCTTCCTACTTCTATCTAGCTCTATATAATAATCTATAAAATTAAGACCTCTTTAAACTGCTTCTTTAAGGTTAATAACTTTAAAGCTAAGTAGCTATATACTAAGCCCTTTAACTTTATCTATACGCGCGAGCTCGAGGGATGTATTAGTAATGATAATAACCTCTTCTAGCGCGCCTTCTGCTACCTTATATCAGGCAGGTATATTAAGTTCTAGGCAGCATACCTGCACTGGCTCTCTAACAACGGCACTGCTAGCAAGGCCGAGAATGCCTAGAGCTAGCTTAAGATCCTACTAAAAGGCTTAGCTAAGTTTAGGAAGTCTCTTAAGGGTACTATTAATTAGAAAAAGAAAATAGATAAGGCAGGATTTATAGATATATAGCAGGAGGTTTATAAGGTAAGTTATTATCTTATTTTAAATATTTAGTTATTACTAATATAAGATAGTAAGATACCTATTAGCGCTTAGCCTAAGAATTTAAAACTTAAGGAAATAGGCAGATATTAAGCTATTTAGCAGATTTAGGCCATAAAGTTATATATACCTAGGGTCTTCTTAACTATACTTAGCTAGATAGAGGAGGAGATCTAGGTATATATAGCTAAGGTTAGGAAGGACCTTAAAGACCTGTTAATTTACCTATACTTGCTAATTTACTTTATTTAAGGAAGGAAGCCTAAGTAATAGAGTAAAGCCCTTTTTATCTCTTTTATATTACTAAAACCTAATTAATATCTTTATTAAATAAACTATTAATATAGAGACTCTTATAATATGCTAACCCTTGTGATTTATCTAACTCTAGCTTTTAGGGTTCCTTAGTATTTTTACTTTTATAATATTTATTAATATCTATTAGTTAGGGATATAGGCCTAATACTATTTAGTTTAAGAGCTTAACTTATTAGATTAATAGTAGCTTAGGTTTAAGTATTTAATTAGATAAGGCTATATATAATATATATTTAGCCTATTATAACTTGCCCCTATTGTAATTTATACTTAATACTAAACTCTATTAATAAAATTATAATATGCCTTAGAGATAGTGTTTTATATTTTAGACATGGTTTAAGTATAGCAGGTAAGTTAACCTAATAAAGATTACTACTTACTTTAAGGAGATAGATACCTAGTCTTTTAGTTTAAAATTAATTATTATATAATTAATTTAATTTACCTTACTTTATAAGGTAGACTTAAATTTTGAAAATTAACTAGCCTAGGGTAGATTTGATTTTAATAGGGTATTAACTTGGATTTCTAATTAGTATTTAGTTATATATTTAGGTAAGATAAGAGTAGTAGTAGCAATAGTAGCTCGCTTTTACCACTTAGATCTTATAGTAATAGACTCCTGTTCTTATAATAATCTATACCTTTAGCACCTGGCCTAAGGTCTTATATCTATCTTTAATCAAGTCTAAGGTGCTAGAGTATCCTCTCCTATTTTAATTCTATGCCTCCTCTATTAGATATATTAATCCTCCTTAACCCTTAGTGTTGTTTTTACCCCCTTCCTTTAAGAGTTTTAACTAGTAATACTAGAATTATAGAGGAATTATATAAGGTTTAGAGGGCCAGGCTTTGGTTTAAATGTAGGTAGCTCTCTGCAGCTATATAGTTGCTACTATAGGATTAAGACCTAGTATTGCGCCTGCTAAAGCAAGGTACCTATTATATATAATTTAGCAGCACTAGGCGGGCTAATATAGTGTAGTCTCGTAAGTTGTTCTCGTACAGCAGTAGCCATGCGTTAAGAAGGGCGAGGGATGTGTATATATATTATAGTCTAATCAAGGTTAGCATCGTTCGCCTATACGCCGTTTTTAGCAGCAAGTCCTAATCCTCCAACGCTCCTTTTCTGCCTGCGGCCATTAAGAAGCTATAAAAGGGAACATCTTTTTCATATCGCATGCTCACGGGCTCGCTTTTGGCCAGAGACACCTAAGCCCCTAGTCGCCGAACCAGCACGTAACATCTGAATAACCTCTTAACAGGTAGGCCGTGCCTTTCGCTAGTCTTCCATACGGGCATATAGATGCCAAATCATATGCAAAATAGCAATGCCAAGAGCTACACGGCATCGCGTCAGTGCGATGCCTAGAGAATAGTCATTAACTTACATTTATCCTTGCAATTTATAATAATCTCTCTGGCGGCATCGTATTATATATAAAAGAATGGCCGCTTGATCTCATATCGTTCCCCATCCCGCCAAGGATTATCGCAGTATTGCCACAGGTGCCTACCCAAGAGCATCCAGATCGCGGCCATACCTACAGCCTAAATATCTATTATTATAGTAAATTAGCCCATTTCGCGCTCTAAAGACAGCCAGCCTACTATACCAGTTATCCCAGGAGTAATAGAAACAAAGCCACAAGGAGCTTGGATAGCATCTTCTGTATTAAGAAGAATAATTGATGCTTAATTAGAGTCCTATTTCTAGATGCTGATGTTTATATGCTTGATATTACTATAGATCTATTTGTTCAAATGAAGAAAGTTAAGTGCCTCTAGTAGAGATAGCGTCATGCTCCGAGCTAATTTGGGGCTGTGAAAGATTAGCCGTGGTTCAGTTAAAAAAAAAAAAAGCAACTGATTCACGCAAAAGAACCCTTGTATTGAGCCAACGTCTTTGGCGTAAAGGGCGTCAAAACAAACCACACATCAGCAGATTTGTTAGCGGCATTTGGATCAGCTGTGATAACCTCGACGAGTCGCACGATGCGATCCTCGTCGGCATCATCTGCTAATTGCGTCAGTGTTTCGAGTATTCTTTGTCGCCTATGAATAGCAACATTGTTACTTGCAACACTTATTCTCTTCAAAGCCATGATGTCTCCCCTATTATTCATGCCTACGCTGACTCGTCCTGAACCGCCTATGCCTATCATCCCAGCGCTGCTAAGGGTCCATTGACTAATCTGGATAGTGTTGCCCAGTGCTGGCGTCGGCGTTATGGATATATCAAGTGGATTTGTATGTCTGTAGAACTTGCCTATGTATTTACTTATTGCTTCAGAATGTTCTTGTGTAGCACTGAAGCGCGTATACTCAATCTGGTACTTTAATTGTCCGAGGCGGATAGACGAGGTATGCTTATTTAATACCCTTAGCTCTCTTAGGCCTAGCATATCGCCATCGACTTCTATGATACCACGATCTGAGATCTTTTGTACTAGAATCCTCCCTGTCTTATGGACTTGGAATGCAGCATGATGTTGGCGAATGCCGTGGAGGGCAGAGTTGTCAAGATATAAGATCAAATCGTTATGTGTCTTTGTGCTTCATCGACCAGCGATCCAACCTCAGAATTCGTTAGCTGGTAGGTGCTAAAGGTCTATGAAGTAGCAGCCGGTATAGATATACGTGCCAGACCTAGCAGATGTATTAATGTCTCGCCCAGAAGAGCTTGGAGACGACGAAGAGAGGTGACCAGTCTGGATCTGCTTCATGAGCCTGTAGACTTATTGATCGCGGATTTGTCTGGAAGACGTGGAGACATGGTTGCTGGCTTGAACTCTCTTTTCAGCCTGAGAGTCGTCTGCTTGGGAAACGTCGAGCAGCCAGTCGACAACTTCGGTGAATGCAAGTTTCGCTTCAGCGTTTTGCGGTATAAGAGTTATCGTGGCTTGGCATGCAGATGTTAGAGGACCGTGTGGATCCTCATTAGTGGCTTGACTGCTTGATGGACTTGATGCCATCTTTGGTGTTCTGCAGGGTGGCTCGATCTCTCATCGAATAAATTAATTCATATGCGTTAATTTATTGACGTACCTGATACCTTGTATCTTGATTCCTATATCTAGGCGGTGGAGCCGGTCTGAGGAATGTTCCGATCGCCGATCACGAAGCGGATCATTAAACTTCCGTTCCGATGGCGCTTTGTCAGTTCACGGACACGGGATAATAACATAATAAACAGCTAATAGAAAAGTCTACCATTACTAACCAAGCATAAAGGTAATACTGATGCCATGCTCTCTATTAGCGCGATGCATTATATCGACGACTTAACCATGCTATTCGCCGATATCTAAGCCTCGCCCGTATCCTTAACATCCAGCGCCATAGCGTCAGACTAAAGCAATACTATACGAGCGCATTAATAATATGGTAAGATGCTCCTGTCTATTAATACAATTAATGCTGACCTTCCTAGACTCTCTTAGATGTTATAGAATTAGCAGGATCCTATCTTATCGCCGCGCCCCCGATACTGATACCAGAACCCTCTTCCCTATGCAACGCTATATTTATCAAACGCCTGCACTAAGCGCTAGAAGTAGCTGCCTTTAGACAGGCCTTGCGATATAGAATATACGGCCTAGAAATCGCTAGGAACATGCGCCCTGGTTATATACTACCAGGGCTAAGGGAAAAACTGCGCCTATAAGCTTAGAAAACTGATAGTAGCAGTGAGTTGGAAACGTCTATAATGCCGACCGATTATAATATACCCTTGAGCTATATTAAGAAACTCTCTAAGCCAGAATCTCTGATTAAAGATAGCTCGTTAAATAGAGCAGACCTTGCGCCGTCTTAGAAACGGAGGTCAGAGGATACAGAGGAGGAAGGTGATGCTGTTAAACGGAGGCAGCGAGTAAGTAACCATTAATAGACTGGCGCTAAACAAAAGGCTTAGGGTTTTATAAGAGGCAAAGGAGCTTAGCGAAACGAAGTCTAGATAGGGGCTGCGGGCATAAGGAGGCAAGGTGTTATTTAGAAGCGCCTAGAAGCTGCCGAATATATAGAGGTAGTTATACTAAAGTTAATAGTAAGCATAATAACTATTAGCACTTATATAATAATATATATAATAAGCAGAACTTATTATAGGGTTATTTTATAGAGTAATTTCAGGAAATTATATATAATTATATAACTACTACCTGATAAGTGCCTGGCGCCGCGTAGGCAAATAACTTAATATTTTATAGCCTAATCGAGGCCATTCTGGGCTAGGGGACTGCTATGCTCTGGCAGTGCGTTTGGTTTAAGAGCAGCGCTATATAGGCTACCAGGTGCCGAGATATTTATATATACAGTTCCTAAAAGGAATAGGGAGGCTAGGCTTTATTATAAGGACTATAAGATAGTAATATACTAATCCTATAGCACTTTAATCTCTAAAAATACATCTTTTAAGTAGATAGATATATATAGGCTAGTTATTATTATATAAATATATAAAGATCCTACTTAATAGCTGGCTTACTATTAATAAGGTACAGTCTGCCTCCTGTAATAGTTGGGTCTAACTATGTTAAACTAAGCCATGCTGGGTTTATTGTTAGCAGATTGCATAGGGCATAAACTAAGCGTTATTAAAGTGTTATATCTCTTAATAGTAGATTTAATATATATTAGGCTTAATTAATATAAAGAAGTTATATTAATAGCTAGTAAGCTAGAATTTATAAAAGTGCTAATAAATATATTTTATATACTTATAATAACTTACTATAATAAGTTAATACTTATATATAAGTTATAAGTCTAATTATAAGTCCTATTAAGCGGCTTATAATAGAAATAAGGAGAAAGTATAAGTTATTAATTAATTAAAGGAAATTTATAGGTTTTATATAATATAACTATAAGGATTATAATATAATATCTCCCCTCTATTAGGTCTTATCCCTAAGACTTATATAACTCTTATTTTAACTATCCTTTTTTTAGTAGGTCTAATTTAAACCTATAATTATCCTTCTAATATTATATTAATAAGATATTAGAGTTAAAGGCTACTTATAACTAAAAAGCATAAGCAATTTTAATTAAAAATACTAGTTTTCTTATTATACCTTATAGTTATTATAAACCTTAAAACTTAAAGTATTAGGCCAAGGAGGGTTATAAGCACTATATATAATATACTTATTATAGTTATAAGTATAATAGTAAGGGTATTACTATTTTTAAAGGTTTATAAATTTTTTCTTAATATGCAATTTTTATTATTAACTTATTATAGCTAATTATTTTATTACTAAGAAGCGTTAATTAAAGTATAAAGAGGAGTTAGCTAAGACTAAATTATTAAACTTATAATAGTAAGTAAATAAATAATTAAGTTATTTAATATATCTTTATTATTAAAAGAGGCAGCTATAAGAGCATAGTAAAGAGATACTTTATTATAATATTAAAACTATAGATAATTTAAAAGTAATAGATAATACTAAGTTATTTACTGCTATTAAGGCTTAATTAGCAGGCGCTTTTAATATTATTAACTAAGGTAAGATTTTTTCTATTAGTATTACTAATAAAAATTCTTTAGGAGTTATTAGGCATTAGTAAGATATTTTAGAGGTTTTTATATATTTTCGTTTTTTAAGTAATTTTTTTATTTAATTAGGTATATTCTTTATTTATTAATTATATCTATTTTCCTAATTGCCTCTGCTTTATAGGCTTTTAATCTTAAGATTTCTTAAGGTTTGTTATTTATTTTAACTTATATAGTATCTGCTACTAATTTAAGAAATAAAATATAAAAGATTAGATAGAGCTTAACCTTTAATAGTAAGTCTAGTTTATAGTTATTTTATAAAATTTTTTATAATACTTTATAAGGTCTAATAAATTTATAGTTTAATTTATAAGTTAGTTAATTTATTTTAATGTTTTTTATAGCTAGGTAAATTATATCTCTCTTTAAAAAGGTTAGTCCCTTTAACTATTTTAGGTTATAGTAGTTTTTTATATATTTTCTAATAAATTTAAGTTTTGTTTTTATTTATTTATATAGATTTTTAAGGTTATTACTTTTAAATATAGCAGCTAGGTTAACTAATTTTTCCTATTATATATTATAATATATATTTAATATAAATCTAAAGTTAGTATAAGCTAGTATAAGCTTTATACTTTTATTATATATAGTATTATAGGCAAGTTAGGCTATTAGTAGTTTCTTAACCTAATTATTTTATTTATAGTTAATATAATACTATAAATACTATTTAAATACTTAATTTATTTATTTAGTTTATCTGTTAACTTGTAGTCAGAATGCGGTTATAAGTTAATAATTTAGTTTAAGTTATGCTATAAGTAATTACTAAAAGGTTACTGTAAATATAAGTCCTCTATTAGAGAGAATCTCTCTAGGTAGGCCGTATATACTAATAATATATTAATAAAAAATATAAGAAAGTTCTTCTATATCTATTACTTCTTTATAAGGTAGGTAATAAGAAAACTTAATAAGTTAGTTAATTATAACTATAATGCTATTATAGAGGATTTTAGTTAAGGGTTCTTCTAATAAGGGTAACTTTATAATAAAGTCTATTATAATTAAGTCCTAAGGTTATTATATTACTAGCAGTAGTTATAACTATTTATAAGGTCTATATCTTTATGCCTTAGTTTATAGGTAGAGATTATATTATTAAATAACCTTTTTTACTATTCCTTTTATCCCTTTTATATTATATTTTTCTTATATCCTTTTTAGTGTTTTTATAATGCCTTAATGGCCGTATAGGGGATGTTTATATATATCCTATATTAGTTCTTTTTTAAACTTATTTAGAATAAATTATATATATAGGTTACTAAAGGTTATTTCTTATAAGTTATAAGGTCTTTTAGTTTTAGCTTCTTTTAACTATTCTTTAAATTTTATACTTTTCTATATTTAAGTAATAGTTTTAGTTAGTTTATATTTCTTATAATTAGCTATTAGATTTTAAATATAGTTTTCTAGATTTATACTATTATAGATTTTATTTATAGTATTTTATATTTTAATATAGTCTCTATTATATAGTATTTAGTTATAGTAATAGTTAAAGATTTTTACTATATACTTATTAAGAATCTTAATTTTTCTATTAAAGTAGGTTATGCTGCTTTATTAATTATAGTATAATCCTCTAAGCTAATTAATAAAGTCTTATTCTCTATTCTAGTATAATAGTACTTAGTGTTTTAGTAAAGGTTTTGGCTTCTTAGCTACTCTTATAATTATCTTAACTAGTTAGGTAAACTAGTATTCTCCTTCTAGATTAAATTCTAAAAGTTATTTCTTAGTTTTAATAGTTTTTATATTAAGGTCTAGTTATTAGCTAATAGTATTTATATATTTATTATCTATACCTTTATAGTATATAATAGTAAAATTAAATTTATATAAGTATTTAATATATCTTAATTATTATTAATTTAGCTATTATATTATTATAAAGTAAGCTATATTCTTATAATTAGTAAATACTTTTATTAGGTATTTACTTCCTTTAAGATAGTATTTAAATTCCTTAAAGTAGTTAATAATAGCTAGGAATTCTTTATTATAAATAAGATAGTTAAGTTCTGCTTTATATATCTTATAAGAATAAAAAGCAATAAGGTATAATATATTATTATTATCTTATTGCCCTATCTATCTGCCTAAGGCAAAGTTAAAAGTATTAGTTTTAAGTTTAACTTACTAATCTAGGTTAAATATTACTAAAACAGGTTTACTAGTAATGGCTTTCTTAAGCTATTTAAAAGCTTATTATACTTAATTACTTTATTAAAATTATTTATCCTTTTTTATAATTTTAATAAGAGGGATAGTAATTTTGCTAAAGCTTTTAATAAATTATTAATAATAGTTTATAAATCTTAAGAAGGATTATATTTTTTTTACTAATATAGGGATTTTCTATTTAGTAATTATAATAATCTTTTATTTATTTATTTTAATTTTATTATATAAGATTTTATATCCTAAGTAAGTTACTTAAAATTAATAAAA